CGCTGTGTTGCGCGCACAGGCCCTGACGGCTGGCCAGACTCTGTACTTAGTCTCATGTTCACCTTGTCCTTCACAAAATAGCTTTTGAGCCCCCACTGTGGGCAGATGCTGTATTAAGCCTTGGAGAAAGAGAGACAAAATATGACCTTTGCCTTCCAGATATTTGGTCCCCACCTTGTGATAGAGGCTCTGATGCAGAGGTGACAGTATGCCCCCCCACCCCATCCCAGTCCCCGTGCTTTCCCAGGGACACACTTGGCCTTAAAGCCGCTTGTCCACCCCCAGATCCGTCACAGGTATGTTGGTGCACATGCCTGCCGACATCACCTCGGTCTGACTGGTGGAGGAAGCCACCAACATCACAGGGTGCCCCTGGGGCTGAGCATCAGGTGTGCAGCCCAGACTCCCCAGGCTCCCCACCCACCTTCCCATCCTGGATCAGCATCCCACCCCCGGCCCTGACACGCACACAGGGCATCCCCCTCCGCACTCACTGTGTGGCAGGATCGCAGGTGTGCGTGATCCTGCACGGGGGTTCCAAGTGAGGGCCCCGATGCCAGGTCTTCTGAGTTCAGATCCCCACTCCATCATTTATGGGGTAGAGGTGATTTAACCTTCTGTGCCTCAATTTTCTCATCTGCAAAACAGGTATAATAAGGAAGTTCCTTCTCAGCTTGTCAAATAGCCTAGTAAGACTAGAAGGCCCTGGAAGGACCCCGTGACAGCTCTGGTAGCCGTGATGAGCATTTCCAGTATTCGAATACCACTCCGATATGAGTGACAGCACACAGCACAATAGCAACACTGGTATTATTACTGCTTCTATTGCTGCTGTGTGATCACTGCCTGTCCCCTCCCCATAAGTAAGTCCATGGCAGCAGCCACCATCTGTGTGGCTCGTCCCTGAAACAGATGGTACATACTAGATGCTCAGAAAATATCCGAAAGAGTGAATGGACAGACAATGAAGGAACACATGAGTCCCATCTGCTCATTTGGGGCCGCTACCAGGCGGCTTCCTTGGAAACATCACTGCCACTTGCAGCCGTGGGCCTCAGGGTAGAGTCCTCAAACCTCCATGTCCCGGTCCACCATTTCCACGGGGGAGGGCCTGGGAGTCTCCTTCTGTATGACCAGCCTGCGGAAGCCTTTACAATAGACGCACTGCTTCCCCCATATCGGGGTGCCCGCACGTGCATCTCTGGGAGGGTGCTGCTGCACCGAAAGGGGCCAAATCCCCCGGGATGGCCGTGGAGCCTAGGCTCCCTTGCAGCCCCCGTGTCACCCCCTGTCCCACGGCTGTTTCCTGCAAGGAGGCGAGCTCCTGCCCTGCGCCAGATGCTGCTCACCATGAGTCCCCCGCAGCTGGACTGAGCCACCGTCCCCAGGCCCTCATGGTGTCCCATGCCTGGCCCAGGTCCCGCGTCTGCCATCCACAGCCGTTTACAGCCACTGAGCAAAGCAGTTGTTGAAGCTGTGCGTTTAGAAGACTCGTCCATCCGCTTCTGACCCTTTACGTGATTGGGGCGTTACCTCCAGAGGGGTTGTGGCGTCTTCCGTGGCCAAGGAGTTCCTGATGGAACCGGGAGTCCTCTGATCGTGGAGATAGCGGGAGAGGCGCTCTGCCTTGCGTGGGCAGAGCTGTCTGGAAGGGAGCCTGAGGTTACACACCGGTCCCCTGGCAGCTGGGCAGCTGCTAAGAGCACTCAGAGTTTGGGCCTCGAAGCACTGAAGATGGAGCTCTGGCTTTACAGCTGTTATTTTAGCAAATGATGGGTGCTGTCTGCAAAACAAGGGCCCCACTCAGTGGCCTGCTTTGGATCACCAAGGCCCCCTTCCTGCCTGACCTCCTCTGACCCTTTCTAGCTTGGCGTTGACACTCAGTGGGAGCAGCTCGCCCCACATTGCTCCCACCTCACAGGTAACTTCTGGGTCCGTGTTTTCTCCCGTGAGTTTCCCAGGCAGCTGCGGGTGGATGGAGGGTGGAGAAGCAGAACGCTGAAAAGTGCAGACACGGGTCCTCCAGCCCGCCTGTGGATGAGATTCTGGGTAATTTGTGTGCATGCGTGTGTGCGGTGCCTCCCTCTGCTTTTCCGTATATCCCACTGAAATCTGGGCTGGACCACCTTCAAACGCGGATCTTGGACCTCAGGCTTTGAGAGTGTAGAAATGGACTTTTAATGCCTCCCTCATTCAGTTCACTGTGGAATTTAGGGAACTAGAATTCTTATGGGGATGGCAGGGCCTTGCCAAGCAAGCAATAGTGGCATTACTCGTACTTCTGTGTTAAGTGGTCAGAGGTGCCATCTTGGCTTCTGATTCTGGTCAGAGCAGTTCCTAGTGTTCAGTGGCTTATGGCCTCCCTCAGGGGTCTGGGTTTTTGTTATTCTCATGTTAAGGTATAATTCATATAGTGTAACATTCATCCTTTTAATGTAGCCAGTTCAGTGGTTTGTAGTATGTTCACAAAGTTGTACAGCCATTACCACTGTCTGATTCCAGAATATTTTGATCCCCCTTCAAAGCAGCCCCATGCCCATTAGCAGTCATGGCAGTCACTTCCCATCTTCCATGCGTCCCAGCCCCTGGCGACCACCAATCGGCCTTCTGTCTATGGCTCTGCTTTCTCTGAACTTCGCACAAATAGAATCAGTATGTGGCCTTTGGTGACTGGCTTCTTTCTCCGAGCGTGATGTTGTCTGGGTTCACCCATGTCGTTACGGGTGTAGTACTTCACTCCCTGTATGGCCAAGACTGTGCCATTGTGTGGATATGCCACGTCTGGGTTTCCATTCACCAGTTGATGGGCGTGTGGGTTGTTTCCACTTTGGAGCTATTCTGAATAGAGCCACTGGGAACAATGGTGTACACGTTCTGCATGAACATTTCTTTTCTGTTCTCTTGGGCAGACCCAGGAATGGGATTGCTGGATCATAGGGTAACTCTCTGCTCAGCTTTTGAAGGGACCGCCAGACTGTTTTGCTCGGGGATCTTTTCTAGAGGGACCCTCACTGCTTACATACAGTGTTTGTATTAACTGGCAAAGAGGGTCATGGACAGGAGCCAGGAAAGGAGAGTGGCTAACTTGTGCTGAGAGCCCATGGTTCTCTCATACAAGGCTTCTGCCACAGCCTCCCCTCATGACCCAGACTCTGTCCTAGAGAAGAGCCACCGGGGTGTCTCTGTGGCCATGCGCTCCCCTCTTCCTCTCTCATGGTTCCACCTTTGCTGACTGTGTTCTTTACTTTCTAACTGCTTTCCACCGTACGCTGCCCTCGTCGTGCATCCTGCACCTGCTAGGAATGGTCTGGGCACTTGGCCAGTCTGTCTGCCTTTACCCACTCACCTTAGATCTGGAGATGTTCTGAGCCAAAGAACAGTGTTGCTTCAGAGTCCGGGGGGAAGAAAATCATCTGGAGGGGTATTGTTTTCTTCTCAAACATGTCCGCTCCCTTAGGAATTAGTGAGTCCAGGTGAAGAGAGCACTTGGCCATGTGTACAAACATTCTTTGTTCTATCTGATGTTCAGTTTGTTCATCTGTAAAATGAGTTTAAAATTGCCTACCTGTTAAGGGGATTAAGTGAGATACTGTGGACACAGTTCCCAGTACATGCTTGAGACACTCAAGAAATACGAATATCCTCACAGACTGCTCTCCCTCCTAGTCAGGCGTCAGTGACTTACACAGACACTGGCCTGGTTCAGTACCATGCATACCCAGCTGTTTCCTTGCACCTTCCTGCCCTCCCCATGCCTACCTTTGACTCTGCCCTCAGCTCCTGCCCCGGGGCAGGACCTCGGGATCCTCACAGTGGAGACCCAGGGAGCTGTGAGTTCTCAGATCACCCTGGGTGCACTCAGGGAGGCAATGCAGGCCAAATCCTCTTAGGGCAGATCGGATTATGACCCGGGTCATTTTGCAACACAGATTCCCAGGTCATGGTGGTGGCGTACACGGCCAGCCTGGCAACCCCTGGGTCCCCAGGGAATGTGGACTCCCTGGAGGGGCTTGCGTGGTCTAGTTTTACCTGTTAGCTGCTCTGGGTTTCAGTTTCCTTCCCCAGGAGATCCACCAGGGGCCAGAGCTTTGCATTACACTCAGCTGAAAGTCATCTGAGAACTCCGTGCTGTGAGGGGAAGCCTGGGCTTCCACCGCGCCGGGCCCTGGGGCCTGACTGTGCCTGGCACCATGCTCAGCCGAGGCAAAGACAGACCGGCCGAAGGGCCAGTGGGCCGGATGAGATGCCAAGGCAGGCAGCTACAGATGACTAAGCGAATGATGAATGGACAGGTCGTTTTCCAGGCCAACGGCTCATGCTGCAAAGATTATTATTTTAAAATAACTTTTTATAACAATAATTAATATTTCATTTATACATTATACATAATGTATAATATGATACAATATGTATAAACAATAATAAAAGACTATGTGGTTAATACCGAAAGTCCAGGAAGCAGAAAATCATGAAGGGACAAAAATCATCATCCCATCACCTTTAAGATGAATCTCTTCAAAAATGTCAGTTTATTTGGAATACCAAACAATGGCAAAATCCAGAAGGCTGAGCCAGGAATCACGAGTTATGACACGACCAAGCTTTTGTTCAGCAACGTGTCTCCCAGGCCCAAGTGGTTCCCTTATAATGCCTTGTGAGCCGTCCCCTCTGGAACCAGGGGAACTGTGCTTGGAAAATCGTCCCTTTGAGAACCAGTCCACATAGAAAGGCCAAGCAAGCAGAAACCTCCGCCTTCTGGGTGAGCCTGACCTCTCTTTAAGAGTGGATTGGCAGGTGCACGCAGAAAGGCACACCTTCCTCTCTGCCTGGCCCTTCTGGCCACCAAGCCTCTTTTATTGGGAGATGTGTTTATGGCTCCTTTTCCCACTGTTGTGTAAGTGTCAGGTGAGTCCAGGCAGCATCAGGAAATGGAAACTTCCAGCTCGGGCAGTGCAGGCCTAGCCATCAGTGATCCATGATTTGTCTTCTCTCCTTTCCAGCCGTCAGGAATGACAGGAACAAGAAGAAGAAGGAGCCTTCGAAGCAGGAATGTGCAGAAAGCTATGAAATGACGGCTGAGCTGGACGATCTCACAGAGAAGATCCGCAAAGCCCACCAGGAAACGTTCCCCTCACTCTGCCAGCTGGGTAAATACACCACGGTAAGAGACGCTTCCGCCCCAGGCTGTGGGAGGATGGCTGCGGGGCCGTGTGTCCATGCCCGCCCCCTTCTTCCCTCTCCCTTGCGCCTGGACCCGGAGGGGATGTCCACCTAGATTTGGCCCGGGACATGTGTGTGGGCTGAGTGGGGCTCTGCAGTGGCCTCCTCCCTCCACGTGGCAGCCTTCGGGCAGTCATTGAGTAGGATGGCTGTTTCCTCCACTCCGGTCGGGCATGCGTGCGTTCACTCAGGAGCCAAACCGAGCACTCGTGTGCTGGGCCATGTGTGAGGTGCTGGCGATGCGGGTGGGTAAGCTCAGGTTGCTGCTGCAGGAATGTGCAGTCTGGTGAGGGAGACCTGGGGAACCATGAGGTGTTACATGACAGACACCTGTACAGAGCCCAGTGGGGACCTGGAGGGGACATGGGGCAGTGGTCTCAAAACACCCATCCAGCTGTAAGATCCAGCCAACATTATGGGAGCCCTCTTGAGAGAGGAGGTAGAACCCCTGAGCCAGGGCCGGGCAAAGTACAGATGTGACTCCTCCCTCAAGAGGCGGGAGGTCCTGCTGTGCTCCCCAGAGCTCCATTAGAAATGGCTTTCACCACGGGTAGAAATAAAGAGAAGCCAGGAGGGAGAGGATGGGGGATCAAGGGTTGGTGGTATACGTTGACTGGTCTGCAGTGTGTCGCTGGAGACACATGAGGTACTTCAATTTTTTAAACTGGTTTTTGCGTGTATTATGTTCACAGACGTCAGTTCGTGGTGCGTGGCACACAGTAGGCACTTGATGAGTATTTGTTGCATGAATGAATAAATGAGTGCATGAATGAATGAATGAATATAACTAGAATGCTATTCTGGCCTCCTTAAGTAGCTTATGTTGCTTGCCTAAGATGCTGGTAAACGTACTTTTAAAATAATCCAAATTATCACATTTGCTGGTTTGGTGCCTGGTGTGCTAGAAAAAGAATAGGACGAAGCTCCTGAAGATTCCGAGACTTGAAGTGTTGATGCTGAAAGGAGGGCAGTGAGCACCGGGGCTGGGAAGCTGTTGGGGGGCAGGGGGAGCACCTCGCCTGCAGGCTCTGACTCAGTCGGGTTGGCAGTGTGGGGGGCATTTCTGTCAAGCTTCCGGGTGATGCTGCTGTGGCTGGGCTGCCTTCTGCACTCTACCTAGCAGGTGCCCTTCGTAGCCAGACCCAGGATGACCTTCTGGGGCCCAGCCAGGCCTTTGGTGTCAAGGAGAATGAGAGACATCGTGCGCTTCAGCCACCCATGTGGGAAGCCGTTGACCTCCGCTGCCAGGCTGGGGGGAGGGCTTGATTTCAGTGGACAGGCCCTGCTGAGCTTGGTGACCGCTGGCCCAGAGCACAGAGCAGGATGAGGCTGGAAAGCATAAAGGAGCTTTCATTTTAACCTAGGAGGTAAAGCAGGCCCATGAGCTAAGAGGTGGTGGAGGGTGATGCCTTTTCTCACTGGCAGGAGCACTAGAAACCAATGAATGTGGTTTACCTCCTGCTCAGCCACGGATCAGCCGGGTGACAGTGTCAACTTATTGACTTCACCCAGCCTCCTTTCTCCCATCTGTAGAATGGGGATGATATAAAATGGTTAGAAAAATTAAATAATTCATGAGAAGCTTCTGTTGATGGGACCTGGAAATGCCTGTGTGACAGGGATGTGGCAGGCTCACCAGCCACTACATGTCCATTCCCTGGCTGGGAACTGATACTTGGGGGGCCTGGCCCCGTGCCAGCTGCATCAGACACTACAGAGGAGGAAGAGGATTAATAATCAGTGCCAAGGAGCATCTCATTTATTCCTCTCAGAGATATTTATGATTGCCCATTGTTCCAGGCAGTGTTTGGGGCTAAGTTTCGAGGCACGTGCATCCTGACCTAGGAAATCAGGATCTCAACCGAGGATGGGCCCAGGGGAGAGAACAGAAGGTGGTGAGGGGAATGGTGAGAGTGGTGGGAGAGAGTGGGAAGTGAGAAACAGCTTTGCAGGGGCCCTGGGTGGCTCAGTCAGTTAAGTGTCTGACCCTTGATTTCAGCTCAAGTCATGATCCTCAGGGTCATGAGATCAAGTCCTCAGGGGAGGTCTGCTTGAGATACTCTCTCCCTCTCCCCTCCCCCTGTGCTCATTCTCTTTAAAATAAATCTTGAAAGAAAGAAGAAAGGAAGGAAGAAAGAAAGGGCCTTGTAGAGTCTTGAACGCTGATTGAGGGATTTGTATTTTAATCTGTAAATACTGGAGAGCAAGAGACAGTTTGCAGTCAGGAGTCTTTGTTATTCTTATCACCATTATAATTACAGCTAGTATTTATTGAGCATTTACTATGTACCAGGGACCATGCTAAACACTCTAAATATTCATTCTTTGACTCCTTACGGAACATACAAAGCGGATATTGTTGCTTCCATAATACAGATGAGTAAACTGGGGCGTAGAAAGGCCAAATACTGTGCTCATGTCTCATAGCCAGTATGGTGGAACTTGAACGTGAAGTTCTGAGTCCAGGGACAGCCCTTTTAGCCACACCATACACGGGATACATCACGGGGGTGGTTGACAAGGCCAAATGGAAGGAGGAGCCATTGGGTATCTGGTTAGGAGGGGTGGCTGTTATCCAGGACTAAATCAAAACGTTAGCTCCAGAAAAGGCAGAGTAAAAGAGAACAGTCAAAGTAGGGAGGGCTTCCTGGAAGTGGAAGCTTTTGAGCCAGGTCATGAGGTGAGACACATTTTATGACGATCCCTGGGATCATTTGCTATGGTATCAGGGGTCTCCTCCCCTCTTCCCCAGGTGGGGCTTTCTTCGTGTGGCCAAGAGTCTGCCAGGCCCTGACTCTCCTGGTAACCAGATGAAATGGTGTCCACTCTGCTCTGGGTAAGAGCTGGGCAAACACAAGGCATAGCCTTGCGTCCACCTAGAACGCACGCCCTGGTGTGGCCTGGCTTTCTCCAGGGCTTGGGACCAAAATGCTCCTTCAGGACGGACCTCCCCTGTTAGCACAGCTCCTTCCCACCCCAAAAGGCAGCCAGGGATTCCGGCCAGCCCCACCTGGGCCTCTGCCACCCTCCCTTCCCCCAGGCATCCCTTTGAACCCAGTAGCCTCTCCTTTTGGATTCTCATTCTACCACAGGTCTGATTCCACCTGTCTCGAGGCCAAGGAGGCTGCCCTCCCAGCCTTCCCAGAGACGCAGCAGGGGCTGAAGGGGCTGCGCCGGGTCCCGTGGCTCACACTGCAAGTCTCCGGGAGCCAGCCTGAGGGCTTTCGCTGGCTGCCAGATCTGCTTGGCTCACGTGCGGGGCACTGACATTCCTGGGGGAGCCCTCACCCAAGAACAAAAAGAAGCTGCTCGGTGAATGCCCCAGCTTCCTTACCCCTGGGGAGGGTGCCTTCTCTCAGCCATTTCCCCCAGGGGTTCCCAGCAAGAAGAGCCCAGGAGCCCACAGGGATGGTCTTTACTGGCTGCCTGCCTTTGCCAGACCTCTCCTCTCCAGCCCTCCTGCAGGGCTTCCTGGGACCTCTTCCCTTTCTGCACTTTTAAAACACACACACACACACACACACACACACCCCTATTGATTTGAGAAAGAGATCGTGGGGACACTCATGCACGCACATGTGAGTAGGGGAGAGGCAGAGGAAGAGAATCTCCAGCAGACTCCCCGCTGAGCCCGGAGCCCAATACAGGACTCGATGCCACGACCCTGAGGTCATGACCTGAGCCAAAACCAAGAGTCAGACACTTAACACTGACTGCACCCATCAGGCACCCCTGCTGCGCGTCTTTTGATCCAGTGAGGAGCGTGGAATACAGCTTTTCCCTCTCCAGAGAGTGACCCTTAGCTACATGGCCGCCAGCCTCCTTCCGGAAGCACACTGCCCGTTTGTGGGATCGAGGCGGCTCTGATACAGTCTCTCATCCGGCTTTTTATTTCTACTCTGTATACAGATCTAGCTCAGTTTTTATTGTAAGCAACTCCAAATCCTTTCTGCAAGTAGGTGGGCATATAAATAAATAACAGCAGCCATAACACATTCTCGGCGAGCCCTTAGTTCCGAGTTGAGCATTTTTTTTTTTTTATAAAAAGAGATTTTTTTAGATGGGCAGTTGCTTCCACTGCAAGGAAACTTCCTGCCGTCTTCACTAGCCTGGCCTCCTTGTCAGATGCCTTTGGAATAAGTGGGCAGAAAGGAATTAAAAAGGCAGCTAGCCGCCCACCTATAGACTTTTTTGGAAGAGTAGTTCCCTTTTCTTTTCTACTTAGGGTAGATTCGGGTAGCATGGCCCAGCCTGCGGAGACAGCCGGACTAGGTGGGGAAGCAGGAACATTTACCCACTGCCTCAGGGAGGGCATGGAGCTCGCCTGAGCTTGAGAGCTAGACTCTTCCGGAAGATTCCTAACCAGTGACCTCCCAAACCAGGAGGCGTGGGAGGGGGATTCCACAGGGAAAGTGGAAAGCGAGGCAGCACCTGTTTACAGATAAGTCTCCAAAACAGAATGAAGAGGCAAACCGAAGGGAGCAGCAGCCCAGCTCTGAGGATATTTACTCTGCTTCCTGAGGTCACACCCTTAGCAACTGCGTCGTTTGGGTTTCCAGACTTCGCAGAGCCAGGGTTAGGTCTTGCCTGTGCTATGTAAGTTTACATGACCTTGGACTCATCCCAGGAGCCTCAGCCCTCTCCTCCGTATCGTGGGGTTTGCGTGGTACCCACATCTTGGGATTTCTGGAAGGGTTAAATGAAACAACTGTGTCAGAACTCCTTGCACAGTTTCTGGCGGAAGGAGGTACACAATGGGCAGGTCTCCTCTTGATGTTGCTATGGATGCCGTGTTGTTTTTTCCAGCCACGCTCACAGGTTTGGGAAAAGTGAAGTGGCAGGTGGGCAAGGGAGGCCGTCTCCAGGCAGCACAACCCCAGCCTGGGCAGCTCGCTCCCACTTCCCCCTGTGCGGACTGTCCGTCACCTTACAGAGCGTGAT